GTTATATCGGACTATTATCCGTTCTAATAGATTTTTTATTACCCTTGATTGGAGCTTATTCTGGTATTTTGAAAGATTACTTCTGGTCTTAACTATGAGTAGAAATATACAGGCTGATGCAAAAAATTTTGTTTATTGTAAATATAAATTCAATGTGTTCGAGACATTCTCGAATAGTACTTATACTGCCTTTCCTATTTCACAGATAAAATTCTTCATAAAATGAGGGATACTGTTGTATCCTGGAATACGTAGCAGCTTGATATCCAGATACTTTATATATAATATAGTTTTCATGTACATAATACATTTTTTAAATATTGGTTTTGTATTATATATATTTTATTAAATTTATTTTTTTGATTATGCTTGTTTTTTATTATCTAAAAACTGTTAGTCAAGTTAAGATTGGTTCATGTAACTTAATTTTTGCTTTATTATAGTGAATAAGGCTTTAATAACGCAAAAATGCAGTTTGTGTGAACAAATATAAATTGGGCGAGTAATTTTTACTGTCAAACTTGAATGGCCCCACGCTATTCTTCTCTTCTTTTTGTTTTTTCATATGGCCTCTTACCCGACAAGGACTTACTTGAAAAATCAACTACGTCCGCCAGGTTGCGCTAAAATTCTATTACCGTTTTCTAACATAGGAATTACCATTGCAGATGTTACAGAAAATAGTTTGGTGTTGGTTAAATTTAGCACAATGAAATATTACATTGGTCAAATAAATTGATGGCCAAAATTTATAAAACGGCCTATACCTTAGTAAAACAGGAGATTAAAAATAGGATTTTTGGAATCGCCAACGATTAAAATACGTACGCTTGTACTCGTTATAGCAAAACTGCAGAATTGCAGTCATAGACCGGTAGGCACAAGTAACCCAGGGAGCGAGTAAATAATAAACTAAAAATGAAAAAAAAATGTATAATGTACACAGTGCAGCTCCATCTTCATAGAATAAAACCCCGGGACCGTCACCACAAATCACCGTAGAACGGACTCCTAGTTTACGACGATGCGGACTCCCCAGGTATCACCCTGGGATCCTGACCAACATCACAAATATTTCATCAATCAATTTTA